CGAAATATAATTGCCATACTTGTTGGTGCGACGTCGTGTTAACCTCGTGGGTTTCATCCGGCAAGTCATCATATACTTCTGCCGTATCTGTGGTCGGGTTTGCCGCCAAAAGATCGCAAATCGCTTGTCCTTTGATCGACTTCTGTTGCTTGAAGTGCAAATCATATTGGGATAAGAGAAGGGCCCATTTCGCTAACCGCCAATTCATAGAGGTTGGTTGCGTCATAAACACCCGTACTGGATTAACGTTGGAAATGACGTAAATCGTCTGTCCAACCAAGTAATGCCGCATCTTTTGCATTGCGAATACCAATGCGAGGCATTCCTTCTCAATCATCGGATATCGAGACTCGGCGCCTATCAAGGTCCGACTTAGGTAATAAACTGCCTGTTCGTGACCGTTATCGTCGTCTTGTGCTAGTAAAGCACTTATCGAGTGGTTCATCGCCTTGATGTAAATCAAGAACGGATTACCCGATTTCGGTGCAACGAGAACAGGAGGATTCGCCAGATACGTTTTGATATCTTCGAACACTTTTTGGCAGGCGTCATCCCAGATGAATGACACCCCTTTCTTGTTTAGCTTAGAGAATGGTTGGCACTTCCCAGAAAGGTTTGAGATGAACCGCCGGATGTAAGCTAATCGCCCTTGTAATCCTCTGAGCTCTCTTAGATTTCTAGGGGGTTGCAGTTCGTGTATTGCCTGAATCCAAGGAATTTTCCGCTAGACATTCCAAGGAAGGATTTAGTAGGGTTCATCTTCAATTGATGACTTCGCATGAGATCGAACATCGTCTTCAAGTCCTTGATGTGATCTTCTTTGTTGCGGCTTTTTACAACCAAATTATCAACGTAGCACTCGACTGTTTTCCTGAGATGTTCTTGGAAAATCTTAGTCATTCCTCGTTGGTATGTGGCGCCTGTGTTCTTTAGACCGAAAGGCATCACCGTGTAGCAAAAGACACCAAGGGGCGTTCTGAACGCTGTATGCTTCTCATCATCTGGGTGCATCTTGATTTGGTTATATCCTGAGAAACCATCCATGAAAGACATTCTCTCAAATCCGTATGTATTGTCGATAATAACATCCGTGATCAGGAGAGAAAAGTCATCTTTTGGACATGCCGTGTTTAGGTCCCTGAAGTCGATGCAAATCCTGATTTTACCGTTCTTCTTCATGACTGGAACGATATTGGCT